CCGCAGGGCCCGGATCTCCCCCGGGAGCTCATATATAAATAATATATGGTGAATAAATTGTAAAAATATAAAACAAAAGATATATATAAAATTACTTGAGATATTTTATAATCGTTTGTAGCGCGGTTTTTGCGGATTTTTGGTATTTCCTACTTGCCGTGGGGTCCTATTTCAGTTTTGTGAGGTGCTCAGCTCCCAGCTTATCCTAGCTGGCGAGCCAGAAGGGACCAGTTTAAACCAAGGCAAAAGTATTTTTTTTAAATTAAATTTTAATACTACATCAAAAATACCAAAACCAAGCAGAGTATAAATACCAAACAGTAAACACTTTGCTTTAAAAGTTCTAACTACATTGAAGTCTAAATCCAAAAGCATTAAAAAAAAATCGTTACTAATAAATATATATCGACTAAAGACTCTTGTTATGAGGATACCGATAAAAGCTATACTGTTGTATACAGTGCAGAGTTTTTAATACTGGGGTATGTTATACTATTTTATATTCAAAAGCATAACCAAGAAGCATAGGCCGGATTGTTTGGAAGTAAACAGTCATATACTGAAAGTAAGGGAACCAGGTGCGCTCAAAGAGTGATTTCGTTGTACAAAGATTCGTTTGAGCTATATTTAAAGTGTCACTTATCTTATCCATCAGGAATTGTTCCCACACTTTATTTCTCCAGGCCTCTAAACTTGGAGACTTGGGTGACTTCCAGGCCGCTGCGATGGTGGTTTGTGCCGCCATAAGTAGGTATGATGTTAGCTGTTGTAGCGGTTCTTCATCGTGAGCTTGATCTCTAAGATGTAATAGGATAGCTTTAGGAGAAAGCGGGATGTTCTGTCCTGTTATTTTCGAAATTTCGGAGATTATCTGCACCAACCAAGGCAAAAGTATGAAAGCCCCTTTGCCCACCTGTCTGACAAGCCCCAGGGTACTATTTACGGGTCCCGCAACTGAGAGCCAGAGTCCTCTCCTTCCGAGCCGGTCTGTGGCCTGGGGCCATTTGGATCTGGGCAGACGCAGAAAACAGCTTTGGATCTCTGGAGCCACGGCAGGAGATGCCGCTTCAGAGATCCCGAAGGGTTTTTTGGGGGTGGGAGATCCAAGTGCTCAGGCTAGGAGATCTCTTGGGCTAGGAGTGCTTCTTGTCTGGTCAGGTGGTGTATTTGCAACAGTAAGGGTACACATACCACACAGAACTCCTCTCTCCTTTTGTGGCATGGAAAGCTGTTCTGCAAAGCTGCCTTGACCTGTCTGGTTGTTCAAGAATTTGGTATGCCAGGAGCTGGCTCAAGGAAACAAACGTATCTGTCCTTAGCAGGGTGAGGAGGTGGACCTCTGGCCAGTTCCTTGCCTGCCTCTGAGGAAGGCAAATAAAAATAAGCTTGCTGCCAACCCTTAATATGGTTGAGGTGCACCATGTCTCAGGGCAGAGCACCTGCTTTAAATGCAGAAGGTCCCAGGGTCAGTGAAAAGGCTCAGGGTTAGTAGGTGTTGTGAAAGGATACCATTAAGGACCCTGAAGAACCACTGCCAGTCCGAGGAGACTGTACTGATATTGATGGGCCAAGGCATCTTTGTGTGATAGTTCTGGGGGAAACCCTTATTTTCTTCCTTTGGGTATTAGTTTCCTTTCCTTAGCACCCTGTTAGGCAGGGCCCCCGGGCTGAGATTCTTTCTTGACACTGCTCCTTGTTCATAGGAACAAAGACTACATCAAGTTCAGCCACACCTGCCCATTTGCCTGGGTGCGCATAGTGGGTCTGCCGCCCCCGCAGCGCTTCACCCGGAAGGAGCATTACCGAACAGAGCCTCCAGACATCATGGAGAAAACGGGCTTCCATGACAAGAAGTCTCTGACTGTCTACCAGGGGCTCATCTTTCAGCTACTCTGGCTGCACTCAGCTTACAACAGGGTGAGAAAATGTCTCCTTTGTCTCCTTACTCCTTTGAGCTGTGGGAAGCAAGTTGCCTGGAAGGGGGCCTTTATTTGTGTCACAAAAGGCAGGGCCTGGCTCCTGGGGCTTTTCCACATTATCATTTCCCTCACTTGCATGTTCCTGTTTCTTTGGGTCCCCCCCCCCCCGTTCTGCACATGTTTTGCTCCCTCTAGTGGTTGATTCGATATTACATCACTTTATGTTCGGCATCTCTTCCTGCGGGTTTAAACTGCCTCATTTTTTAATAATACAAACAAAAGAACACTTTTCATGTGAAATAGGTTTCATAAGAGTAAAACTAACAAACATTAATCCATTTTAACAGATTAACCTTATTGTTTTATTTCTTATCTTGCTTAGCTCTATTTTCCTCAATTTTTATATTATTATATTAATGATTCAGATTTATTCCTTTTAAGACTATACTTTTGTGTATATTTTTATTATTTTATTATTTTGTGGATTATAAATCATCATATTAAAGATTTAAGTACATTTTTACTATAGAGTTGTCTGAATAACCTGAATGGTATATCTGCTGAAAATAATACTGTTTTATTGATTCATCTGAAATTGTGTATAATTGTGTTTAATGCCATAAATTTAAGGTTTAAGGATAGGTTGAAGTGCTTTATTGTTGCAATAATAACCTAATGCAAATACGGATGTAATAAGTAAATGAAAAGTTTGTACAGAAGATATAGATACAGGATGACGATATGGACCAAAGAAAGAAAAAAGAAGACCAACAGAGAAAAGGACACTGATGTGCCAGAATGGTTGGAAAAATTTCAAGACAATTTGGCAATACAGATGAATACAGTTACAGACACACTTTTGTCTCAGATGCAACAATTGGAGGGTGTAATGCATAGCAAAGTGACTCAGATAGAAGGAATTCAAACTCAAATTAAACAAGTAAAACAGGGTCAAGAAAACACTTTTGACCATATTAAAAAAAACTTTCATCCCTGAGACGACAGATAACCAAAGGTCTTGCACAAACACAAGAAAAGATTCAAGGAAATACGGAAAACCCGTGGGCACTCCATGAAATTGCTGAGCGGTCGGGTTAGAACGGATAAAAGGAAGTACTTCTTCACCCAAAGAGTGATTAACACTTGGAATTCACTGCCACGGGAAGTGGTGGCAGCTACAAGCATGGACGGCTTCAAAAGGGAATTAGATAAGCATATGGAGCAGAGGTCCATCAGTGGCTATTAGCCACAAGGTATAGATAGGGACTCTGGGGCAAGTGATGCTCTGTCATCTTGGTGCTTGGGGGGGGTCAACAGTGGGAGGGCTTCTAATGTCCTGGCCCCACTGGTGGACCTCCTGATGGCACTGGTATTTCTGGCCACTGTGGGATACAGAGTGTTGGACTGGATGGGCCTTTGGCCTGATCCAACATTGGCATCTCTTATGTTCTTATGTTCTTAAAAGATTGTTCAGGTTCAAAGACAATATAAAGAACTCGAATTATGCCAAGAAGCTCACAAGCAACTGTTGGATAAAGCTAATCAAAGGATTTAAATCTTGGAGACTAAGAATAGAAATTGTAACCTTAGGTTTTGATCTATTCCAGAAGATTTCAGGAAAACCAACCCTGAAGACAATTTTGCAAGTTGTTACAAGATCATTACAAGACTGAAGTAGACTTCCGGTATATTGATCAAATATATAGAATTAATTCTAGATTTGCCATCAGGAATAAACTTCCATTTGATGTTTTGGTGAAGTTCACACAAAAGAGAATGAGGGATTTTATCTTGAATAAACAGAAAGTCTCTCCTCTTAAAATTCATGAAACAGAAATACAAGTTTTCCAAGATCTTCCCTCTACTCTTTTCAAGAAAAGGAGAAACTTCAAGAAAAGGAGACAGATCTTACAGAAGAAATAAATAAAATACCATTGGAGAATCCCATTTGATGTGCAACTACCAAAGAGCAGGATAATTATATCTACAATTGAACAAGCTAAAAAACTTGCACAAGAATTATCAAAGGACACAAATGACAAAGAAAGAAAGTTAGACCAAGCAGCAGCACTTCATTAAAAATGGATAATCTGAATGTAATATCAATAAACATCAGTGGCCTAAACTCTCCCATTAAACAATCTAAAACCTTCAACCCTAACCTACTAAAAAACCCCAAAAAGCTATCATTTCCATACAAAAAACCCATATAAAGAAACAACATGAACATGTCCTTAAAAACAAGAAACTTGGCACGGTTTATACTGCTTCCACAAATGAGAAGGAAAAAGGCATAGCGATCTATATAACAAATCAACAAGTTAATGTTATAGAAGAACTTGATGTTGAAAATCAAACTTCCTGATTGCAATAGTAACACACTTGTATCATTATATGCCTCAAATAATACAAAATAAAAATTTTATGAGAACTTTTTTCAAATGCTATTAGATTTTCAAGAAGGGGAAATTGTGATTTTTGGAGATGTGAATGGAGTTTTGGATCCTAAAAGGGATAAATCTAACAAGACAAAAGGGGGCAGACTTCTGAAAAATGTTGTCCAGTTCATGGAGTTGCTTGGAGAGCGATTAATCCTAAATCTAGAAGGTACACTTTCTATTCTGATAGACATCAAACTTATTCTAGAATCGACATGTGTTGGATGTCTAAAACTTTAATTATGAATCTAAAAAATGCCGAGATTTAACCAATGATATTTGCAGATCGTAACCCACTTTGGATATTCTGGCAAGGAAGAAGATTGGGGGAAAGAAGATGGTGATTAAACAATGATATTTTACTCCAAAAAGATATAATTGAGAAATCCAAAAAAGACTAAGCAGAATTTTTCAAATTGAATATCACAGAAGATGCATCTGTGACAACTATCTGGGAGGCAAGTAAAGCTTTTATGAGAGGAAACCTTATTGCAATTGCTTCTAAGAAAAAGAAAGAAAAAAAGGAAAGAATCACAAAAATAATAGAAAGAATTCAAGAAGAAGAAGAGGAGGAGGAGGAGATTAGATTTATACCCCGCCCTTCCCTCAGAGTCTCAGAGCGGCTTACAAACTCCTTTCCCTTCCCCTCCCCACAACAGAGGTAGGCAGGGCTGAGAGAGCTCTTTCCAGAACTGTCCTTGAGAGAACAGCTCTGACAGAACTATGACTTCCCCAAGGTCATCCAGCAGCTGAAAGTGGAGGAGTGGGGAGTCAAACCCGGTTCTCCCAGATTAGAGTCCATGCACTTAACCACTACACCAAAATACTGGAAGATCAGCATATAAAGACATTAAAAAACTGTTTTTTAAAAATTAAACAATTGAAAAATCAATTAAATTTGATTGAAATGGAGGAAATACAGAAAAAATTAAGTTATATTAAACAAAAACATTTTGAACGTGCAAATAAACCTGGATGCAATTTGGCATATAGCTTACGAAAAGAAAGTAAAAGACCAATAACTGGAGTAAAAAATTAAGTTGAAATTTCTTATCGAGAGAAAGATATACATGAACAATTTATTCTATTTTTTCACAAATCTATAAGAAAGATAATTTAATTGAGGATTAGATTATATAAAAATGGTTTTATACCCAAATTTACAAAGGAGGTAGAGATATTTTGAATCAAAATATTACAATACAAGAGATTTTACAAGCAATTAAGAATCTGAAAAAAGATTAGGCTCCAAGTCCAGATGGCTCATCAGCAATGTATTAGTAAATGTTTGAAAGAAGAGTTAATTTTGCCACTTTAAAAAGAACCAAATAAGTGAAAAGACAATGCTTCCTCAATCGTGGCAGGAGGTACATACAACACTAATTCCTAAGGAAGGGAATGAGCCAATGCTACCACAATCTTATAGACCTATATTGTTACTGAATGTAAACTATAAACTTTTGGCCTCAATAATGGCAGAACAGTGTTGGGAGAATGTGTTTACATGTCTCTATATATGTGTGTGTGAACCCCTCCTCCTTGTTCGTATGCGCCAGGTGATGCCTACTCACCAAAGGCAGAATGAATGAGTGAAACCTTTTACGGCTAGTTAAAAACCATTACAAGGTTGCTTTAAAGGAAACAAAACTGACCCAAACAAGTGGGTTTAAGGCCCAACCATCGACCCTCCTTTGTTGTGGTGAAATGGCCATAGCAGAGTTTGAAACTACTCTTATTCCAGGAGAGAGAAAAAGAAGGAATACATTTAGCTGCACAGGAGATTGTTTAAAAAACAACAACACACACACATACACTAAGATTATAAATCCACTTAAAAAAAGAAAATACAATAATGATTGTACCCATCCACTCAAGTTTGGGAACCAGTCCCACCAATCAATAGTTGGTGCCACCTGATGGAATTAAAAAGTAGTGGCGTCATATTCCCCCATTTTGTCATAACAAACTCCTTGTTTGCACAGACTATGTCCATTGTCAGGTGGTGGTAGAATAGGGGCATCTATTTGTGTGAAATGTCTGTTGTGTTTGGTGACCTCTAATTGCCTAAACAAGACAACTATTACACAAAGTATTATGGGATTAAAATGGTTTTTACTAGGTTTTTACTTAGGATGGTCAGGTAAGGTCCTTTTTTGATAAAATCAATCTTTGACACTTATGGATTTAAAGTGGGAAGAGAACTGCCAGAAACCAGACCTTTGCACTTTTAGATCATTTTTCAGACAATGCCTCTGGTCAATATTTGATGGCACACATTCCATGTGACTGTAGGATCTATTTTGATCTCTTATTTGCAGATCAGGGATGAGTCTTGAATGACTGACCCTTTGGGATGCTAAGAGAGGGAATGTTGCTTGCGTCACCTGTTTCTAGGTACCAAGCTTGTCCCTCCAAGTGAGGAAGGGAGTCGAGGCCTAACAATTCCCTCCTCCCCCAAGAGGTGTATAACAAAAATAATTTATCATGATCAGACAGGTTTCGTCCTCAAGAGATACATGTTTTATAATTGAGACAATGGAATTCATACAAAATAAAGAGGAAAAAGCTACTTTTATATTTTTACATGCTGGAAAAGCTTTTGATAATTTATCTTGGACTTTCTTGCAAAGACTATTACAATATTTAAATTGTGGATGTAAATTTATGAAATGGATTCAAGGAATTTATGTGAAACAGAGTGTAAAATTTTTGATTAACGGACTATTAACAAACGGATTTCAAATTGAAAAGGGGACGAGGTAAGGTTGCCCTCTAGCACCTTTATTATTTATCCTTGCAATGGAAATATTTACTTCTGGTATCAGACAAGTTCAAAATATTAAAGGACTGAAAGTTGATGGAGAAGAATTCAAGCTAAAAATCTATGCAGATGATTTAGTTCTGACAATACTTAATCCACACAATACAATGTTATGGAACATATAGAAAAGTTTAGTTCATTCTCTGGATTTAAAAGCAATAGGGGAAAAAACTAAAATAATATCTAATTTTTTAACAAAACAGAAAGAGGACAATATTAAGATAATTACTGTATGTGACTTTGTAACTAACTCAATCAAATATCTGGGAATAATGTGTCTGGGGGAAAAGATACACTTTTTCAAGAAAATTATGAAGCAGTTTGGAAGAAAATACAAGAAGACCTGGAAAGGTGGTCCAAACTAAAACTGTCATGGCTTGGAAAAAATCTCCACAATAAAAATGAACATTTTGCCAAAAATATATTTTTTTATTCCAAATGCTTCCAATTGAGATTCATGAAAAATGCTGAAAAATTGGCAAAATCAGATAATATATTTATATGGAATGCCAAGAAACTAAGAGTTAGATTTAAAGTACTACAGGATGTAAAATAGAGGAGACCTAGCTGTACCTAATTATCAAGTTGTATTATCAAGCAGCTGGCTTGGTGTGGATTTCTAATTGGACTAAAAACCCAAATGAAAGACTGATGAAATTGGAAGCTGAGGATCTGACTGAAGGCTTCCAGAGCTATCTTTGGATTTAGAAAACTGGAAAAATATCTTTAAAAGAAATGAAATGTAAAGGCCATGTTATCAGAGACAGTTTACTGAAAAATTGGTGGTCACTTAATACAAGACTTAGCCTGCCAACATCAGCTATAATGTCACCAATAGATGCTTATTTATGATAAATTTGATAGAAAAATGATGATTTTATAACATATCTAGACATGATCAATTCTCAAAGGAAATTTAAATCTTGGCTGGCTATTAATGAAGAAGGGGAAAGGGTACAGTGGCTAACGGATCTCCAACTTACATCAAGACTTAAAGAATACAAAACAAACAGAAGTCGAGGGAACTGCGCCAGTGCAGAAAGAGACAGATTGAGAGACTTGACAGAATTTGAAAAGATAATATTGAATAAAAAAGATAATCTTCTAGGACATATTTACAAACTCTTACTTCAGTATGACACAGAAATGGAACAAGTCAAAACGTGTATGATGAAATGGATGCAGAACTTCAATAAAGAGATTTCACTTCAGCAATGGGAAACTTGTGGATGAAAGATACGAAATTTGCAAGTCAAGCACATAGAGAAAATTGGTATAAGATGTTCCTTTGCTGGTATATCACCCTGAAGGATAATGAGAAGATGGGCAAAAATTACAATGGAAAGTGTTGGAAATGTAAAGAGATTGACGGTACCTTCTACCATATGTGGTGGTCTTGTAAAAAGACCAGTAAATATTGGAAAGAAATACATACTGAAATTCAGAAAATTTTGAATATAAAATTTGCCATGCAACCTGAGGCTATACTATTGGGTATCCTAACAATGAAAATGGATAGATCAATATATGAACTGTTTTGATATATGTCAACTGCAGCACGAGTAGTATTTGCAACTAAGTGGAAAACCAAGGTTTGCCCAAATTTTGAAAATTGGAAAGATAAAATGGAGGAATATGCTGTCACGGCAAAACTGATGAATCATATAAATAAAAGACCTAATAGTGAATTTGAGAACAAGTGGAGAGCGTTTTATACTTATTACAGATAAAGCTGTAAAAGTAGATATAATATAATCTATTATTTAATTAGCCAATGATAACTAATTCTCTATAGTTATATCATTAAAGTGTTACTATATAATCCTTAATTTTTATATGGAACGTTATCTATCTGTTTTCCCGTTATTATTATAAATTATTCCAAATGGTACTACTGTTATTTTAAAACAATATGTAAAGTTAAGAGAATTTGCCTATATGTTTTTTCTTACAGCCTTTCAGTTAGGGAATAATGAAAATATATTACGTAGAAATAGTAGTATACACTGTGTATAATATTATAATGTTTTAGAGTCATAGAGTTATTCAGACTTATTATGTCATTCATCTTCATATTAATGATTGCCCTTAACATTTGTAAAAAAGTGCCTTCTGTTTTTTCCTCTTTATTTTCCTTGTACTCCTATTCTTTTTTCTGTATCCTTATAAAAGTTAAAAATAAAATATAAAAACATTAAACTGCCTCATTTTATGCTGGACATAAAGCAATGTAATATAGAATTGACCACCAGAGGGAGTGAAACTTGTGTGGAACAGAACACCTCCCCCCAAACAACAAGAAGACACAAGTGAGGAGAAAGAGCAAGAGTCCAGTAGCACTTTAAAGACGAACAAAATTTGTGGCAGGATGTGCGCTTTTGTGAGGCACTGCTCACATGTGAGAAAAATGAGACTGCAGAAAAGCCCTTGGTCTCTGTATTCTTGAAAAGTTCAGGATGAAAAGGAGTGTGTGAACAGTCTCTGCCGAGGATGGGTCCGTGGTCTCATTCTGCTGATAATTTGGGCTGTTGCTGTTCGCCTCACATCAGAGGAAGGGGCACGCATGTGGTCTACTCCTTCTCTATAGCAGGGGTCCTCGACATTTTTGAGCCCGAGGTCATCTTTGGAATTCTGATCTGGGGTGGTAGGCACCATTATGAAATGGCATAGGTCTTTCACTTCACCTACTGCTTGGTCCTTTTAACTGGAGATGCCAGGGATTGAACCTGGGACCTTCTGCATACCAGGAAGAGACTCTACCACTGAGCCACAGCCCCTCCCAGTGCCAGAGGATTTGGGTATTCCTGGATTCTATTGCTAAGACAGAAGAGACCAGTCCTGGGGCAGGGGGGTGGTATTTCCTGGGCTAGCCTCAGGCTATCCTGCATTCAGCCTCCTGTGGGTCAGAGACGGAGAGCACCAGGAGTATGGACTGCTGGGATAGTGTAAGAAGAACAGGCAGAGTTTTGACTGGTGCACCCCCTCACATACAGCCCACACCAGCAATAGCGCACATTGTGTGTCGTGTTCACCCCCTCACATCCAGCCCACACCAGCAACAGCGCACATTGTGTGTCGTGTTCCAAAAGAGTGTTCCCATACAGAGGGAGAGGCATGAGACCCACAAAGAGGAGCACATTCTCTGTGTGGCTTTGGATCTGTGTGTGACAAAGTCAGAAGCGTGTCCCTGAAACATGGCAGTTTTTCTTGTTAGCCCGGTTGCCCATCTTTCCCCTTTCCTTTTCAAATCACTTGAGCCTGCTTTGTTAACGGATTCCCGTGTTTTCCTTAGCCTTACGCAGACCCCGTCCACGACCCCACATGGCGCTGGTGGAAGAACAAGGCAGAAGATGCGGTAAGGAAAGAAGCTTGGAAAGAAGGCGCTCTCCCCCATGGAGTTAATGTCAGATCTCTTGGGAGAGCTATCTGTCATAAGAGCAGCCATGTTGGATCAGGCCAGTGGCCCACCCAGTCCAACACTCTGTGTCACACACAGTGGTCAAAACCCAGGGGCCATAAGGAGGTCCACCAGCGGGGCCAGAACTCCATAAGCCCGCCCACTGCTGCCCCCCAAGCACCAGGAATACAGAGCATCACTGTATTTCCTTTTGTCCGTCCTGAAACTACTGCCCATCAACCTCATGGGATGCCCTAGAGTTCTAGTATTTGGGGAGAGGGAGAAGAATTTCTCTTTGTCAGCTCTCTCTCCTCCCCAGGAAAAACAACACGCAAGCAAACCCTGCGATATGAATAACATTTGTAAGATTTATATCGCTTTTTAAACTATAAAATTACAAAAATTTGTCCAACGTTCTCAATTATGCAATATTGTAAAAAAGTCCAACATTCTCAATGAGTAGCCGGTTATAAACTCATTTCAACGTTGCAGTCTTCCTCGGGAGCAATCCTATATTGTAAGGAGGTGTCAGTTTCTTAATCCAGCTCAGTATTGTAATTTCTTAATTTCCTTCATAGTATCCTGGAATAAACCATGGTCAATAAAAATCCACATGAAGCTGAATGGAAAATAGTTATTTTATAATTATTTAATTTTTAGAAAACTTACTTCTGGTTCCATATAAGTGTTTATATTGGGAGCAAGCCAGTCCTAGGTGGATTCTCAATGAGTACGCGGTTACATTGGGGACATAGACATAAATGTACATATGATGGATTAAATAAGTAATTATCACAATCCTTATAAATTTAATAGCTGAAATATTTACAGAGGTTCGTCCTGCAATAATGTCATGTTACTTTAAGAAAGAGATGTTCAACATGCAGCTGCATGGAATGAACTAGTAGAGTCTTTATAGAGTCTGGATCCAGTTAATTGTAGAGAGCATTTGCCAGCCAGAAAATGAAGGCTTCTAG